TACTATACTATACTAGACGACACACACACACACACACACGACGACACGACTAACACTAACTACACTACACACACACACACAGAGAGAGAGAGAGAGAGAGAGAGAGAGAGAGAGAGAGAGAGAGAGAGAGAGAGAGAGAGAGCACCTTTTGAAACGGTTGAGCGCACAGCGACAACAGTAGCTGGAGTTCGGTAGTGGAAGCAGGGTTTGGGGGCAGTTTTGAGAGAGAACAGATGGGAAGGACGATAGAGAATACAACTGGGAAAATGGAAGAGAGAAGGGGTGAATTCGGAGTAGAGTTTAGGGGAATTCAAAGAAATTTGTAGAGCCATCAGCAAGCTCAATACCTACAAAGACACTCTGAGCTCAGTTGCAAGTGAATGAAATGCAGTAAAGAGGAACCCAGATTAAACCTGAAATTGGCAGAGCTTTCTTTCTCTCTTTAAAGAAGCAGAGCCTTCTTTCTCTCTCTATATTTGCCGACGTTTCTCTCTCTAACTAGAACGGCGGGTGGCGTTGGGGAATAGCGGGATGCAGGGACGTGCTCATATTTGAGGCTGAGAAGCACCAACCCTGAGGCAAACGTATCTTATGCGAGCACTTGAAGTTTCTACATCGCGCTGAATCTTCGTCATCCGTCCGATAAATAAATGGAACGGTTGCGATGAAAACTTTTTGAAACATAACAAATTTTGACCGTTTATGATGAGATGGGACGGTCAAAACAAGCTAGCACAGTGTTACAAAATCAAGTGATTTTGCTTCATAGTACCCATGATCAATGTGGAAGCATTTCGCGACACAGAGCATCAGCTACCGTCCTTACGATGGACGGTCAAGATGAATCAGCGGAATGAGAAGCATGCGCCAGTAGTATACCCGTTATATAGTACGTGTAATTTCCATCGTGCTTATCTAATAATGGACGGAGAAGATTAACTATTGTTCCACTTGCATGGACTATATTGGGTTGAGTAGGACACTGTTCCTCACCATTAAAGCAGGCCACATGGTGCGAGGGGAAGCCCATGCATTTGGCCTAATGCCATGTTTGATTCCTTGGAAATGGCTTTCTAAAGAGAAGCCTCCCTAAGAAACGGTCTCTCTTACAATTAGCATCTCCTAGTATGGATAGATAGCATATGGTAAAAGACCTAGAATATGCTTGTCCACTATTTGGATTGCTTGGAAGACTTGTCTCCCAAAAAATTATATAATATATTATTATATAATGGGTAAGTTTTTTATGTTTCCCTGGCAGCATAGAAGTTCTATCATCTTTCTTATCCAACCTTCCATTTTGAATTGTGGGCTAAGATTGTCCCAATCACAATGTCACATCTCTTTACTATTTTATTTTTAATTTTTTTCTATAAACTATTTTGATATCAAATTTTGGACATCCATTCCTCTATTAAAATCACACTAGTGAAAAATATAAAAAATATATTTTCAATAAAATAAAATGACCAAAATACCTTTGAAAGTTGCAAGGTATATTTTTCTCATTATATTATATCCAAAATTATTTTTAATATTTTTTATAGGTGCGCCCCAAATGAGAAGATAGCACATACCAAATTTCATATTCATACAATTTGTATAAAAAAACTAATTGAGACGTCGGATTTAAGATCAAACGGTGAATGACTCTCTTGATCAAAATTGGACAGCTGGATGGTAGGGGGAGGATAGAACTTCTATGCTGTAGGGGAAGCATAGAAACATTTCCCTTATAATTGTATGTTATAGTAGAATGTGGTGAAGAATTGTTATAAAGAGTCAGGCACTGCCTAACAGAGAAGATGGAACACCGCCGGACGACAGAAAAGAAGAAATGTTAGATGCATGCAAGAAAAGGGCGTGGGTCGTTCTTGTACAGGAGAGACAAAACCTTATCTTCATTTGTTGAGCCCAGCCCCTACCTATTAGGATAATAACTACTTCTCCAAAAGGGTATATCCCTCACTCGTCTGACGAACATCTGTCCTTTTATCCAACTGAACGAACATCGCATAGTCGGGGAGCCACAACATTGGCTCACAGGTTATGGCCTTCTTCAAATCTTCAAAGGCTTCCTTGCACCTTGTTGTCCAATTCCATGGTTGATCATTATTGAGTAGATCGGTCAATGATGCCACCTTTCTCGAGAAGCCATTGATGAACCGCGTATTAAATATATATTGATTATTATATCATTATCATCATCAAAATATTTTCCCAACTAATTTGAATCGGCTATACTAACCATGGTTAGCTATTCTGATTTATTAAGGGTTATACTTTCAGTGAAGTCATAAGTCCCTATATCTTTTCTCACTACTTCCAACCATGTCTTTTTAGGCATACTCCTTGCCACTATATCTTTATGGGTATACCCCTTGCTCTTTTTTAGCCTTCTACTTGAAATGTCCCAAATGTATTCATTTTTAATTTTATTTCTTCAAGTCTTGCTACTCATCCTATTAATATCATTATCTCTGCTACATTTATTCTATGGATATATTATTTTTTGTCTGCTCAACATGCTGCCCCTTAGAGCAAAGTTGGTCTTAAAGATGTGCTACAGATCTTACCCTTTAGCTTCATTGGTGGGGGTGGCAATGGACCCATATCCAACCAGGACCCGACAAGTATACCCAACTTAGGTTTGGGTATGGGTTCACATTTTGGACGCACGAGTATGGTCTGTGTCCAAAAGTGCATACCTGGATATTTTTGGGTACAGGCACGAATATGGGTATGGCTATACCCGATCGTGCCCGGACCCTTTAGTTTATATTAATATAAGTTATAATTATTTATAACAAAAAAAAACTAAAAACCTAATCAATTCCCCTTTTTTTTTCCAAAACCTCGAGCCTAAACCTTCAAACTTGTCGCTTCTGCCCCCTTGCTTTTGCCTCTCCTACGCCCTTGCTTCTGGTAAGAGGAATCATATTTGGTTATTCTCTTCTTCTCTGTTGTGTTTTTACTGATAATTTGGGGTTGGTGCTCTTGTTTTATACAATGATATCGCAGCCAAACAGGCTGATACCTGGGGAGGATCACAACAACACCCTTTTTGTAGGAGGAGGCAAGAATATTTACGATCCTGACCATCTCTATGGCCTCCTCCATCAACCAATCCACCACTCCTATGATCACTAGAGCAACACTTTCAGGTCTCTCTCTTTCTCATTATTGTGGTTACAAAACCTCTCTCTCTCCTGGGAATCTCTGTTGGCACATATGGCCATAAGGCCTCGTGTGACTTTACCTACAATTGTGGGATGGAACGCTTACAATTGTGGGAGAAATACTATGGTTATCTAACGTTCATATAAACCAACGTTCATATTGTATGGATATCTCTGAGATCAAGACAGACCATTCTCAAATACCCGTTGGAAATATAAATGTTAAAACCTTTTTCTTCTACCTATAAAAAGGGAAGCTAGAGAGAGGAAAAACGCGTCAGCAAGAAAAAAAAAAACGTTTCAGTGAGCAAAAAAATAATTTATTCACTCTCTCTCTCAAAAGGGCAAAAAAAATCCGGGCTCTGCGATCACCAGCCTCAAGGCATCTCTTCTTTGATCTCGGGTTAGTCTCGCGATCCACCAATTTTCGCTAACAATGGTATCAGAACGATCCAGGTTCCATCCCTCCCTTTTGTTCTAATTTTTTTTTAATGGTGGAGCTTCTGTGATTTAATGTTGACATTGTGTTTGTCATGATCTACTCATGATATTTTCTTGTGTATGAGTACCTTGTATTTTACTGTAAAATTCTTTTGAAGCCCTACAGTTAGGTCAAAGTCCATTTAAAAAAAATATATATATATTGCAATTCTAGAAAAAAAAAAAAAAAAGTGATCACAATTGTTTTTTTCATGCACGATAAAATTTTAATTTCCTCCCTCTTTTGTTTTTCTGATATATATATATATCACCTGTATATGCAATGATTCACCGCGCTAATTAATTACCGTTTCAATCCCAACTAGTAGAGCTTATCTTGTAGAAAAACCTCATACGTTTTAAGGAGAAGAGGAGTGCAACATCTAGTGAGATATTGCTATTAACTCTCTCAAATTAATAAAAATAAAAAGATAGAGGCAGTCTTATAACGATAGAGATGTAGTTAAGTTGATAAACTCACAGAAACCTTTTGACTTTTCCAACAACAAAAAAAAAAAAATGGTTTTATCCTACAATTTTATGCAAGGGTTGCTCTTCTCTCTCTCTCTCTCTAACCTTTTTTAACAAGGGAAAATTACTAATACCCCCAATTTGTACTTTCTAAACACTCTACCCCCACCTTAATTTTTTCTCACTTAAATTTTATAAAATGTGACTTTTATGACTAAATTTTTACTGTATTTTGTTGAATTTGTATTTGATCATCCATCATCTTTATTTTGTTAAAATTTAGTACAAATTCTTGTTACAAAAAGCTTTCTTAAAATTTGTCGAGCTATTTTTAAAAAATAAGTTTTAATGTATGGATGTCATTGATAGTAATAATTTTTAGGTTATTTTTACTGCATTTTGTTGAACTTGTAAATGATGATTCATCATCTTTCTTTTGTTAAAATTTAGTACCAATTCTTGTTACAAAAAGCTTTATGTATAAGCATAGGGTAAGTTCAAGGCTAGTATATTGGTGGTGAAGTTACTGAAAATATTGTGCAGGACAAAAGAAAATGGGTGATAACAGATTAACTTATTGCATTTATGGTGGAGAACTCCGAACAAGTGGCGATGGGACTTTAGATTATATCGGTGGTGATGTATTTACCTTTTTCACATGTGAAAATACATAGCAGAGCGTTTCTCACTTGACATGCACTTGCTATCACTGAGGTATTTTGTCTCGAGAAATAGAAAATTTATGATAAACCTATTTAATGATGATGATATTATTAGGATGTTGAACGCCCATGCCATGAAGGCGAGTATCAAGTGCTCGTGTATGTATTTCATGAGAGTGAACGTAGGTGTGGAAGTACTTCAAATAATACTATGGCAGTCGAAGAGGTCAGACCCCCAGAACCCTCTAATGTTTTAGTATCTGGCTCTGAACAAAGCAATACACCAAGGTTGCTTAGCACATGGGAGGATGCACTTATTGAGGTATGACAACAGTTCGAATCTTTAGAAGATTTTCGAGAAGCCTTTAGCAAGTTTGCTATAGCAAACCATTTCACATACCGTCTTGTTAAAAATGAGGGGTATCTCATAAAGGCAAAATGCAAGGGTGATGGATGCAAATGGGAGATATATTGTGCGACGCTTGGTAGGACGAATGTTTTTCAAATCAAAACATGGATAAAAGATCACACATGCAATTTAGGGACAAGCAATGATGTACAAAGAAGAGCGTCACGAAAATTTGTTATATCCTTAATCAAGGATAAATTAAGCGACATTGCACATTATAAGGCTAGAGAAATCATGAGTGATTTATCTCGAGATTATGGGTTAGGAGATTATGGGTTAGAAGTACCCTATTGGCAGGCCTGGCGAGGAAAAGAAACGGCCATCAAAGAAATACATGGTTCGTAAGAGCAGGCATACAA